GTTTTAAAACTACTCGATTCTAATATCATTTGCAAGTTACAGAATTGAATTTGCTTTACTAGAGCGGGAGTTAGAACACTTTAAAGATACTAATGAATTACTATGATGATAAAAATAATTGACAAAAATTTAAAAATCTTATATAGTATAAATTACATATAGCGCTGCACTATGATATTAAATCATATGATGTGCAACACCCTAATCAAAAAGGCAAGACAGCAGCAAATTGGAGCACTAGCAAAACGAAGTCCTAGCAAAAAAGCAAATACCAGAAAAGTAAAGCACCAGTACTAGTAAAAGCGAAGTTTTAGCAAAGAAAAAAGCAAAGCAAGCACTACTTAATGTCACCAGTAAAATGATGATACAAAAAAATTGAAAGCATTCAGGTTAGTAAAATGAAGAAGTAATATAGATAAAAAAAAAAAAATAATACTTATTTAGACAGCAATACTAGCGAGTTCTAGCAAAAGAGCACAAGCAAGTACCAAAAGGTGAAGCAGCAGTAAATCGAGCTCTAGTAAAAGCGAAGTCCTAGCAAAAAAGCAAAGCAAAGCACCAAAAAAGTAAAATATCAGAAAGGCAAGGCAGCAGCAAGTGAAGCACCAGTAAAGTGAAATCCTAGCAAAAGAGCAAAGCAAAGCACCAAAAAAGTAAAATATCAGAAAGGCAAGGCAGCAGCAAGTGATGCACCAAAAAGCGAAGTCCTAGCAAAAGAGCAAATACTAGAAACCAGTACCAGTAAAAGCGAAGTTCTAGCAAAGCACTAGAAAAGCAAAGCACCATTTAATATTACTAGCGAAATGATGATACAAGAGAATTAAAAGCATTAACAAACAATGATGCATCACCTGCAGAATGAACATAAATGACACGATATTGGCTAAACTGAACATAATAAACAACGTCAATTACAACAAATTATAGCACCTATGATGCAAACCAGCAAGAACGAAACAATGATAATTATAATATCAATGACAAGGCAATACTATAAAGAAGAAAAAAGAAAATGATTAGTAAAAAAAAAAAATGCAAAATCAATATAAAAAAATATTTATGCATGGTCGATTCATATAACCAGAGATTTTTTCTTGATTAAATTTTATTTTTATATTATAAAAGATAGTGCTATAGTGCTATAGCACTAAAATACTATAGCACTACAGTATAATAATATTTCTATTTAAGAAATAAAAAGTGAATAAAAATAAATGGGAATATTATTATAGTGCTATAGCACCGTAGTGCTACTCTATATGTAAATACAAAATTGGTGTAATATGTAAATCAAAACAATCTAATCTTTACAAAAAATAAATCTTTTAATTAGATTTAGATTAAA